TTCCTTCAGAAGTCATTATTTGTTGTTTGTACTTTTCTATCAATATTGCCATTTCAAATAGTGGTCAGTCTAGCACGGGGTGTCAATTTAGCTTATTTTTGCTAAATTTTTCTGGTTTTACTTTTTTTGTTGTTATTGTTTTTCCAGACATGGTTTCTCTGTGTAACAGCTCTGGCTATCCTGGAACTTGCTTTGTAGACCAGGCTGGCCTCAAACTCACAGAAATCCTCCTGCCTCAGCCTCCTAAAGCCATGTGCCACCCCTCCCCCCCAGTATAAACCTTTCTACAAGCACTTCTTCTTCTTTTTTTTTTTTTTTAAAGATTTATTTATTTATTATGTATACAGAGAGGGAGCCAGATCTTATTACAGAGGGTTGTGAGCCACCATGTGGGTGCTGGGAATTGAACTCAAGACCTCTGGAAGAGAAGTCAGTGCTCTTAACCTCTCATCTCTCCAGCCTCTCTACAAGCACTTCTTATGCTGTATTTTGTAAGTCATGAGACACTATTTGGTTTTCTCCTAGGAGTAAAAACACCTATGTCAAGACACTATGTAACCAATACACAATCATTTTCAGGCAAGGTTTCTATGTTCCTCTGACCCATAAACAACGAATGGCAGGACAATAACTAAATAAGCAGGGACTAGTATGAACTCTGTTTGTTTTTATCTCCAGCTCAAAGTATCTTCTACCTGTTCTTGTCATTTCTTTCATAAGCTACTTGTTATACAGAAGGCTTTTATCTGCTTTCTACAAATCAAGACATTTTTAGTCCTCTTTTCTTTCATTACTGCTCTCCTTTGTATCAAACATGTTTTTTAAAGTTATTAACAGTTGACATGAAAATTTTAATTAATAGTAATTTAGAGTGCTCTAGTATAAATTAAAAAACAATTTCAGTTACATAAAAAGTGACCCCTATCCTTTTCTTTACACTGTACTATCAAAAAGGTAATTTCTTTTAAACAGTACAACAATCAGCATAGAATTATAATTATTACTTTAAGCAGCTATCTCTCAAATCAGAGTGCTGGAAAATAGAGAAATTATATTTATTCCATCTTTTTGTAGTTAACTATAATGGTGCTCTTCATTTCTTCCCAAATGTTTCTATTATCCATATATATATATATATATATATATATATCCTTTATATATATCCTTTATATATATCCTTTATATATATATCCTTTATATGTATATATCCTTTTTATATATATATATATATCCTTTATATATATGTGCATATGTGTCTATTTCTGTATGTGCACACATGAATATAATTCCCTCAGGGGCCAAAAGAGGGCAATTGATTGCCCCTGGAGCTGGAGTTGCCAATGGTTGTGAGCAACCTAACATGGATGCTGAGAAATGAACTCAGGTCGTCTGGAAAAGCAGCAAGTGCTTTTAACTGATAAGCCAACTCTCCGGGCCATTACTATTACATTAACCATTTCAATCACAAGAGCTCCCTTTCATATTTCCTATAGGGGTGTGATGGTTCGAAAAGGAATGGTCCCCATAGGCCCATATATTTAAATACTTGGTCATTAGGGAATAGCACTACTTGACAGGGATTACGTATGGCATTAGAGGAAATATGTGTGGGGGGGGGCATTTTGTGGTTTCAAATGCTCAAGTCAGCCCCAATGTTTCTCTCCTACTGCTGCCTGCCCACCCAGATATAGAACTCTCAGCTATCTCTCCAGCACCATTTCTGTCTGCTTGCTGCCATGCTTCTGGCCATGACAATAATGGACTAAACCTCTGAAACTGTAAGCCCAACCCCAATTAAATGTATTCCATTATAAGAGGTGCTGTAGGGTGGTGTACAGAGTGAGTAGGAAATTTCTTAATAAAAAGGAAAAAAAAATAGGTACTGTACACTTGGGGAAGCAGCCCTGCACCTCACCTGGGCAAAACAGTAGAGCAGGACTTGGTTGAGCCAGCTTTGGCTCTGAGGATGTGACAGCAGGAGAACTAGCCCTGCTCCTTGTTGCCTGCTGCAGTGGGTGAGCTAGCCAAGGCAGTGCTGGAGAGCTCACTCTGGCTGTGTCAATGAGGGAAAACTAGCAGGCTGACCAACCCAGTCTCAGAACTAGGGCACACCCCAACATCCATCTCTGAACTGCTGGAGCATGTGAAGGGGTCAGACCTGCAGATCCAAAGATGCAGGATCTCAATGACACAAGGCAACAACAGGATATCCAAAAGGAGTCCCAGTGAAGGCCCAGTATCAAGGGTATAGCAGAAACTAGAGGCCTCAAACCAGACCAAATGACTCAATGCAGTGAACACTTAGAAGTAAAGATGTATGGACTAAGCCGGGTGGTGGTGGCGCACACCTTTAATCCCAGCACTCAGGAGGCAGAGCCAGGCGGTTCTCTATGAGTTCGAGGCCAGCCTGGTCTAGAGAGTGAGCTCCAGGACAGGCACCAACACTACACCGAGAAACCCTGTCTTGAAAAAATAAAAAATAAAAAAGTATGGACTAAAGGGTATACTGTGTGACTCACTGTGTCACAACTATAGCTTCCATACTGAGACCTTTTTTTGGTTATTGTTGTTTTGGTCTGTTTGTTTTTCTTTTTCTTTTAAATTTTATTTTATTTGAGGGGAAGTTGCATAGGCAGTGGGCAGATACAAAGGGATGAGGAGATGAACGGGATCAGGATGCATAATGTAAAATCCACAAAGAATTAATTAAAAAATTTTAAAAAAAAAGAGTCGGAATCATGGTGTCTCTTCACAGTAATAGAACACTGACGAAGACAGTGGGAAAGTCTGCTAATAATTCATTTAGGATTCTTTTCTCTAGGACTATCTTTTTGCTTTTGTTGTTGGGTTGTTTTGTTTTTGAGACAGGGTCTCTCTAAATAGTCCTGGCTATCCTAGAACTCACTGTATAGATTAAGTTGGCCTAGAGTTTCAAGACCCACCTTCCTCTGCCTCCTAAGCGTTAGAATTAAAGGCGTGCACCACCACATCTGGCTGTCAATTAGAATATCTTAAATGTTATCATTCTGAAAGGCATTTTGTGGGAGGTAGAATTATTCATTTTATATTTTTTTTCCTTTATTCTAGTAACTCCTACTCCAGTGAGGTCTGATGAGAAACCATCTGTTGATCTTAGTCTAGGTCCTTTATACATGACAAATCACTTTCCTACTACCACTTGCTTTTCATACTGTCTCTTCTACTTTACATTTTTAATTACATTTATTCATGGGATGGGGGATGCACACTTGCCATGGCCTGTGGAGGTCAGAGGACAACTTGCAGGAGTTGGTCCTTTCCTTCCTGTCCATCTTGGAGATGAAACTCAGGCATCAGGCTTGGCAGCAAGTGCCATTACCTGTCTGTTAAAACCATCTGGCCTGCCTATCTCTAGATAGTTTAATTATGATGTATCTATGTTTGGATCTCTGTGAATCCATCCTCCTTGTCATTACTGATGACCTAGCATGTGTGGAATAATTGGTCAAATATAATAAAAAACGTATAGCCATGATTTCTTCAAAGACTGTTTCTGACTCTTCTGAACAGCCAGATGTTGATATGCTTGATGTTGTCCAATAGGTCTACTTAGCTTTGTTGACTTTTATTTCATCTCATTTCCTTCCTGTTCTTCAAACTAAGTATCTCAAAGGAAATTTTTTCCTTAAAGCCTCTTTAAAAAAAAAAAAATCACCTCTTAAAATCACTTAGAGGAAGAGCAGATCTGAAGTGCTCTTTTATTTCTCCAATAAATTTTAATTATCCCTATTTAAAAAAAGTAGTACATACATATAATCTAGAAATAAGAAATGAAGTTTAAAAGCTGATTTTGAAGGTTTACTACAAGTACATACAAGTCAGTTTGGGAACCACGGAACAAGGAAGCATTCTCACAATTCCACTGAAAGGCATGTCTCAAACTACATATAGATTAGAAAATTCTAACTATGCAGCAATGTTCTAAGACTACAGCTAGAGCAAATACTACAGCACATTCCAAAGGGGCACAAGTGTCTATGAAACTGCCCTCACACAAAACATAAAATGGGATGTTTTATGGCTTAAAGAGGAAGTACCCAGAAAAAAAACAAACTTTAATTTCAAACTAAAAACTCAATAAACTGAGAGAAGGTTAATGAAAAAACAATACTTAATGAAAAGATGCAGTATTGACTCTTTAATAGAAAAGTACTATAAGTTACAAAGCTAGTCAACAGATAAGGTGACTACCATACATATTATACTGACTGATTCTAATATTTTTGTTTTCTAATTTGTTTTTATATTAAATTACGATTTCATTTGTAGAAAAAATACAGATGAACAAAACAGAGAAAACATTAAAATTAAATTCTGAATGATATGATTATCAGCTTGTATTTTTGCTCTTACTACCACATGCCTTATACTCATTGTGGGGATTTGAACAAGTGGCCCTCATTTGCTCATATATTTGAATGCTTGGTCTGCGGTTGGTGGATTTGTTTGAGAAGAATTAGGAAATGTGGCCTTGTTGGAGGAAGTGTGGCCTTGGAGGAGGTGCCACTAGGACTGGGTTTTTGAAGTTTGAAAACCCTTGCCAGGCCCATCTCATTCTCTCTACCTGCAACTTTCAGATCAGATGTAAGCTTTCAGCTACTGCTCCAGCACTATGCTTACCCGAACTATAATAGCCATGGACTAACCCTCTACAACTTTAAACAAGCCCCCAATTAAATGATCTCATTTATATCTAGCCTTGGTCATGGTGTTTCATCACACTATAGGAACCCTAATTAAGACACTCATTCCCATAAATATCTATTAATGAATATATAGCGACATATGCCTACATAAATAAACATATATTTAATCACTTAAAGATATATGTGATTTATCAATTATGAAACATGATTCCAGGGAATCATGGCAAGAAAACAGAAAAAAATAAAAAGTATTATCATGGCAGAATACTGGCAAGGATGGCTTACCACTTTTTTTCTGAATGTGTCTTTTCCCAGCTTCCCTGAAGGCAACCACAGCTCTGAAAAAAGCTCGGAGAACTGCCCATCGGAAAACAGCTACAGGATCAATTCCAGTCATCCCAGAGACAAAGGCATTCCTGCTACTTCTCAGAAGAGCCACAATGTCTGGACGCATATGATCTGTATTTTTTTCCCGAAAATCCTATGTGAAAAAAGTACCAGTAATATTTGTGAAAAAGACTATTCAAATCAAGAAGATAATAGGTGACAGGTTTGAATGGTGCGTGAACAGAAATTATGAAATTGAATTCTATTCTGAGTAGCTATCTGAACAAGATATCTTCCAAAAAGTGCTGGCCAAGTCTGAAACTACTGAATTATGTAATAAATACAGAATGAACACAATTTTATTGTGGATTATTAGACAGTCAATTTGAAGGGGTATTAGATAAAATGGTAAGATAGCTAGCTAAAAGAGCCAGTCTTGAGAAAACTAGGCAAAAGAGCACCTTACTTGTTCTCTGTGGAGACAGTGGACAGGGTAGAAGTAAAGCAATAAAGCAGGGGCAGAACAGATGGGAAAAGTGCAAGTGGTGGGAAAATAGACAAATAACATACTTAAGGTCTATAAGGTATAGCTTGGTTTTATTTTGATTCATTCAATGATAAAAGGAAGGGAAATGTAATGATAGCAGCCAGTTGGTGTTTTATAAACATCTGTGGCTGCACAGAGAATGAATAATATAGAAGAATGAAGGACCTTTGTTATTTTTGATACCTATAATTTATATATGTTTCTATTATCAGCTCTTTTTATAGAACACTGTTTATATTACTATGTAGAATGGAACTAACATTAGACTTTGTTGATGTCTTTTTTTTTTTTTCCAATTTTGGTGGGTTTTGTTTTGTTTTGAGACAGGGTATCACTACATAGCCCTGGGTGGTCCTGGGACTCATTATGTAGAGCAGGCTAGTTGAACTCAAAGAGATCCTACTACTGCTGCCTCAGAAGTGCTGGGATTAAAGGTGTATGCCACCACCCCCAGAAGCTTTATTGATTTCTTTTTCATTCTTTTTATTGTGTTGATTTCTGATCTTTATCATGTCCTTCTCATTCTACTGGGTTCAATGTGCTGTTTTCCGAGTTTCTTGAGATGAAATATGATATAATTACTTTTCAACTTTTCATCCTAATTTCTTTTCAAGCATTTGTCTAAAATGATTCTACAAACTTTAACATACTGCATTTCTAACTAATCAGTTGAAAACAGATCTTATTAGAATAGCAAGTAATTTTAGTTGTGATCTTCTAGATTGGTTCATCAACTACTTAGAAGAGTTTTGCTTAATGTTTCCATGCAATACAGCAATAAAATGAAATCTTGAGATGAGTGTCTCATTGGTTTTGGTATCGTTTTGTTTTCTGTTTTTGAGACAGAGTCTCATGTAGCTCAGACTAGTCTCAGATTTTCTGTGTAGCAAACCAAAAAATGTCCTTGAACTCCTAATTCTCCTGCCTCTATATTCTAAGTGTCTTAAGTGGCAAGTTTAAGCTTCCCAAGACTTAAGAGTTAACCAATTCATGAGGTACATAAAATATATGCAGGAGTTAATATTGATAAACCTAGCAAGAATGAAAGCTCACAACTACCTAATGGTGCACCACGAACAGAAGCTTCTAAAAGACCATTATGAGTATCATATCAAAGGAAACAAACAAACTATAAGAGTGGACAATGAGTTTGAGACACATAGACAATCTGAACAATACAGACACAATAGAACAATCTGTTCTTCTATATTTAGAAAATTCACTAGAATGGCCTAGTACATTTATCTCAAGAAAGAAACCAGCAGAAACATCAATTAGAAAAAATAGATCTCAATTCTACTTCTATCCTTACAAAGTGTCTCCAAATGATACTCCAAATGATACTACTGATTCAGAACCTCCAAAAACTAGATGAGAGAGTAGTATGCCAAAGCTAGTAATCATACATCTGGAGCAAGAGCTGGGAGGTGACTGTGATCAAGAAACAATGTTCACACCGGGCGGTTGTGGCACATGCCTTTAATCCCAGTACGTGGGAGGCAGAGATAGGAGGATCTCTGAGTTGGTAAAAAGAGAAACCCTGTCTGGAAAAGAAA